CGGGGCGGGCACCGGCGGCGCCTCGCCCGCACGGCCCCGTCGTCGGGCGGGCCCCGTCCCCGGGCCTGTTGCCAGCTGGGCCCCATCGCCGGGCGAAGCCCACCTCCGACCCGCCCCGCGATCGGTTTTATTCTCTCGGGCCCGTCCAGAGCTGCCTGGCAGCGGAAGGTTTTGGGCCCGCACCCCAGTGTCCGGGAGCACGCGCTGCCTGACAGGGCAGGGCCCGGGCCTGGGCCAGGGCCGGCCTTTGTCCAGCGTCCGCGCCAGCTGCCGAGGCCGCACCATGCCGCCGTACCGGCCCCGAGCCCTCGGCACTGCCGCAGAGAGGGACACTGGCGCTGGGCCTTCCCCAGGTCATGCTTCTCGCCAAAAAAAAAGGAGGCAGCTTCGCCTGGGAGACGCGGTGATTCACGCCAAAGGCATCTCGGCACATCACAGGGAGCAGGGCCACTGCACAGAGCCAGCAGCCTTTGGGAACACGAAGCCAGCTGAGCAACCGGGTCGTAAAATCCCGGGCCAAATCGAAAGTTAAGTACTGCTCATGCTGGCAGTCAGGAAACAGCCCGGGGGGATCAAGCATGGTACCGATGAAAACTGAACTCCGCACCGAGCAGATGGGACCTCTCCAGGCCTTGCTCCTGCCTGCAGCCTCTGAGCTCGACCTCTCGGAGCTCGAAGCTGCTCTGAAATCCCATCGCTGCTGCCTGGGCCAGCAGCTCTCCGGTTTCTTAATTAAAACCGTCAAACACCACTGCGCAAGCTTCCTGCTCAATTCCCCCCGACTCCGGCTTGGCTGCGGCTGCCCTCCCTCACGGCCCCTTGCGCTGCCGTCTCCCAGCAGGCGGGAGCTCTGCCCACCAGCACTGGCACTGCCAGGCTGACAGGTAGCGAAGGGCTCCCAGCTGGCATTGCCCGTTATTATCTCTCAGGCTTCTCGCTGGTTGCCCGTGCTGCCGTGTCGCTCATCAGCTTTAATGAGTCATTCCAAACCCCAGCTTCTACGGCACAGGGGAGAAAAAAACACTGCTAAACGGCAGCAAGGTGCCCATTTTCACAGCTCCAGCCTCTGCATTTTGTGAGCCTCAGGGCGGTGGGTGGGTAGATGTCAGCTTGCTGCCCTGCGCGTGGGGGGGGAAGACCCCCTCTGCCTGCAAACAGCAGCCTTCAGGGTAAGCCCAGGCTTCCCGCAGGCCTGACTGACTGCAGCCCCTTCTACCGCTCGGCCCTGCTGCGCCACCCCAATCCAGCAAAGCAGCCGGCTGAAAAGGCAGGACCGAACCCGGATGAGCATCAGCCTCCCTTCAGATCAGCCTGGAAGGTGCACGATGCCCCAATCCATCCCTGTCCCATGGCTGCAGGGAAGCAAGAAGCTCCCAGTCACTGAAGGGAAGCGCCAGGGGGAAGACGGAGGTGACACTCTGCAGTGGACTCCTCGCCTCCTATGAAGGGCGATGGCCTGGGCTGAGCCCAGTGTCCCAGGCATGGTGCTGACTCGGGCTGACGGCCAGCCGACCTTCGGGACGGGAAGGAAAGGAGGGAACGGGCAGGTGTTCTTCCGCTGCGGCAGGACGGGACAGGGTATCGGGGCTGAGATCTTCCCGGGAGGAAGGCTCCACCCTGGGGCCTCGGCTACCAGGGAGGAGAGGGCAGCAAAGCCAACACAGAGCAGAAAATGTTTCACCAACAATAAGCCACAACTTTTATTAATTGATAGAAATAGTACAAATTTTAAATTTAGTTGCATTTTACTCTTCTCTGAAACACCAAAAAAGGCTCCTCCCTCTGGCAGCTACATCGTCAACTCCTGTAGAGAGAAAGGAGCATTACGAGCCAGCCTTGCCGGCAGCACGGAGCCCCACAGCCCAGCCTCCGGCACGCAGAGGAATCAGGTACCACGGCTGCAGGGGGGAGGCATGTCCCTCTGCTCATGGCCCTGAGCTCACGCCCTACTTCTTGCAGCAGTGGGGAACTACGCCCTGCACGTCTACCCCCTAGGGACATCCCACCACCACAAACCATTCTCCTCCATCCTAGGGCACCAGGACCGCCTGGCCAGGCAGACACTCACCATTATAGCATTTACAATATCATTACTGTTGTTCTTCAGGGCACGGACTGCCTTTGCTCGGGACACGTTCGCCTGGGACATCACCAGCTCAATGTCTTTCACCTCGACGCCAGTTTCGTCAACCTAAAGGAGACAGAGCCCGAGATTCACACCAGCCCAATGCACAGTTTGCTCGGTGCCTGGCAGAGGAAAATGGGGTTGTCTGGATTGGGGCAGCTCCCACTCAGGCCACGCAGACGGAACCCAGGAGGCAAGACCATGCACTGCCCAGCCCTGGGGACAGTCCCCAGGACCAGATCCTCCAGGGGAAGGACCCTGTGTTCTCCCTTTGCCATCACGGCAAAGACATAGATGAGGGAAGGGAAACCGCAGGTCTTAACACAAACTCAGGACGCTTCACAGCTGGCTCAGGTCTGCAGTGAAGCACCCAGCCCCGCAGAGACAGGCTGGGGAAGGCATACCTCTTCTTCTTCGCTCTCCTCCTGCACAGTGGGGGTCTGTGTGTTTTCTTGGATGTTTGAAACAGCTTCTCCTTGCACTTTGAACTTTTCGGCAGCTGCCAGCTGGGCTTGCTGGGACAGGTCTTCGATCTGGAGGAGGGAAGAAGTGTTAAGCGAGGCCAGTCCTGCGCAGTGGGATGTCAGCACACAGGCTCAGAGGGCCACAGCTGTGCTCCCCACGCTGCAGCAGTGCCAGCACACTGAACAGCTCTGCCACACAACCCAGTCGGGAAGTCGGCCCTTGGCGCAGACCCGAGGCCTGCCCACACCCCGCAGTGCGGGGGGGGGCACACAGCAGCTGGGACCAGCCGGCGGCAGCCACAGCACACATGTGGCAAGGAGGAATCCCAGCTAAGTGGCCTGCCGCCCCGCTGCTGCTAGCACAGATTAATGTGGCTGCCAGACACTACACAGTGTCAGCTCACCTTCGCTTCACCAAAGACTATGTAGGTGTCTGACGCTGGGCTCTTGTACACGTCTGGCTTTGTGATGACGAAGAGGATGTTCTTAGATTTCCGGATGGTGACTCTGGTTACTCCTGTTACCTGGCGAAGGCCCAGTTTAGACATTGCCTGAAAAACACGAGAAAGGTAAGCGAGGGAAAGAAGAGTTACTGAGACAGCCCAGCCTGTGAAAAGATGTGTCCGCTCATCTGCTCCCCAGAGACCCAAGTCCAACGATCGGCATGCTCACGCAAATGAAAATGTGCATTTTACTGCTGCAGAGAAGCATTCCCAGGCTTTTAGCCTGAGAGTGCACTGGGAGCCTGGGAGGGAACTTTCTAGTCCCAGGACTGGTAAGCTCCATAGCACAACCCCAAGCCCCTGCAGACACAAGGATTTTACCCGTGAACAGGGTATCCCCCCGCCTGGGCGCCTGACAAGGGCAGAAAGTTGCACAAACCCCTCACCTCCTGAACACCTGGCTGCTCCTGTACAGGGGTGGGAGGTAAGGAGCTGCAGCCCTGAACAGGGTTCACGGGGTGAAGACCCCAGCACTTGGGGATACCATGCTGGACCCTGAGGCAAAGCTCAGCTGTCCACAGGCAGGCTGTTTGCTGCACACAGGTTTGGCCCACCCACCATCCCACCTCACCTTCCGTGCTTTCTTTTCGCTCCGGCTCTGTTTTGCTTTGCTAACGGGTTCTTCATCTATTTCAGCTGCTGCTGCAAGCTGCAACGAGAGAAAACAAGAGGGACCCATAAGAATCCCAAGGTAGCGGTGGACAGCACCAGCAGGGATCCTGCTCCGCTGCCGCTGGGCGCAGGGACGTGGCTGACGCGTGCCACCTGCCCTACCTGTGCCTGCTGTGTTGTGGCCTGTGTGGAGTCTTGCTCTTCGAGCTCTGGTACGGATTCATCACTGTCAGACTCTGTTCCGGACCCTACAGAAACAAACACACGTCACTCTTTCCAGCTCAGGTAGGCCCAGGGGACACAGGAAGATCAAAGAACCATACTGCTTCAGTGTTGCCTTTGTTGCTGGGGGTTCCAAATGCTGACGCAGTTTCCAGTCAGCATGGTTAAGCAGTATCTGGTAGGAGGAACTCTCTCTGCAATCCCAAACACCATCAGCAGCAAGTGGCACAAAAGCCTGTTCTGAGCACTCTCACCATGGTGGAAGCCAGGTGCCAAAGCACTGCGGGTGCCCGGAGGCTGGCTCCAGAACAGGAGGTATCCCCAGCCTCAGCCGCTTCCCCAGTTTGAGGCACCACGCTGACCAGTGCAGTGTCCTGGCTTGAGGAGGAGTGCAGGGCGCCACTCCCTGGGCGGTGAGTCAGCAGCAGCCTGGCAGACAGGGACTCCCTCGCTTCCCCTCAAACCTGTTCAGGCAGCAGTGAAGCTGGGGTTGCAGGAGCTCAAGCACATGGCACAGAAACGAGACCCAGTTCACCAACTCCTTGGGGCTGCTGCACCTTTCTGTGACTTCATTACAGGGGACGATCTGTAATTACCTTGAAAATGCCCATCAGGGAACAGCATCTTTGGATGCTCAGGTTGGCCTCTGTGCCAGGTCCTGAAAGCTGCCGGAGCCTGGGAGGCTCAGAGGGCTGCCAGCTCCTGCACCACTGCTGCAGTGCCACAATTAGCTTGCAAACCACAGCACAGCCATGTCCGACCACGTGGGAGCAAACGAAGCAGAGCCGGGCGTCTCCAGCCTCAGTGGAGGCCAGAGGGTGACCACGACGCCCTCTCATGCAGCCATTACCTGAATTCAGTCCCATTTCCTTCTCTGGAAAGGGCCTCTCGCCCATGGCCACGCCAAGCACGCAGGAGCCCTCGGCAAAGCTCTCTGCAGGCTGTCGGTGCATGCCCAGGGGATCCCAACAGTTCAGGCAGGCAAAGGAATTTCCCCAGGGCACAGGGACGGGCCTGTTTTGGCACCAGCGCTGCCCGCAGCTCCCCTTTGCTGGCGGGCGGACATGGGGAAAACCACGGTGGACACCAGACGCGCAACAGGGTACAGGCACACGATAGCTCTTCCCAGAGCCTCAGTGTGAAGCCAGCTCAGGCAACAGTCGCAGCGCCCACGCCACAAGCCACGCCATGCTCTGTGCCTGAGAACACGCGTTAGTGACACCGACCCACTGGCACTGGACCATGCCGAGCCCTGACCTGCCCAATCCCTTGGCCGCGGGACATCTCCCCTCCCCGTTCCCCGGCTCACCGCCTGCTCGGGCAGGTTCAGCTCAGTCTGGCATGGTTCAGGCCTGCCTCCACTGCTGTACTTCCAAAGACTACTTGTCTAGACCGACACACCAAGCGACGTAGGGGCACCTGGGCCCTGTCTACAGGTTAGTATCCAGCGGGCAACCAGTGACACTCCATGCACACGGCAAACCGAGGTGGCAAATACCCTTGTCATTCTTCAGGACAGGCTGCTTAGCTGGAGGAGCAGGGGCCTCAGCAGGGGCCACGGCTGCTCGGGGAGAGAGGTCCACCAGGATGGGCTGCACCGGTGGCTCGGCAGCAGGCAGCTCTGGGGGGATCAGAGGTGGCAGGTCATCGTCGTCGACGGCAATGCTGACAGGGGCCGGGGCCTTCGAGGGGGGTTTGGACAGGGGCTGGCGGGGGGCCAGCTTGGCAACCTTACTGGGAGAGGGCTGCTTCTTCACAGGGGTAGCGCTCGGTGCAGAAGAGGCAGGCGGCAGGAGGTTACCCACTGGGGCAGAGCCAGGAAGGCCGGCTTCTGGTTTCTGGGAAGCAGGGGCAGCACAATCGGCCGATGGCTTCGGGGGAGCACCAGGAACCACAGGGGCTGGAGTGGGAACCAGTGTGCCAGGTGCTGGGGCAGGGACTGCTGGGGGGGCAGCTGGAGCTGGTGGAGCTGCAGGAGCTGGCGTGGCTGCAACAGGGCTCTTGGGAGGTGCTTTGGCCGCAGCAGGGGCGGCTGGAGCTGGTGGAGCTGCCGGCACTGGAGCAGCAGGGGCAGAGGGAACAGATGGGGCAGCAACAGGGCTGCTCTTCGGAGGCTTTCTGGCCGTGGTGGGGGCATCTGGAGCTGGTGGGGCTGCAGGAGCTGGTGTGGCTGGGGCAGAGGGAGCAGCAACAGGGCTTTTGGGAGCTGCTTTGGCTGCGGGAGGGGCAGCTGGAGCTGGTGGAGCTGCTGTCACCGATGCAGCAGGGGCAGAGGGGGCAGTGACTGGGCTCACAGGAGCCGCTTTGGCTGCAGGAGGGGCAGCCAGAGCTGGTGCAGCAGGGGCAGAGGTGGCAGATGGGGCAGTAACTGGGCTCACGGGAGCCGCTTTGGCTGCAGGAGGGGCAGCTGAAGCTGGTGGAGCTGCAGGAACTGGTGCAGCAGGGGCAGATGGGGCAGCAACCGGGCTCAGGGGAGCCCCTTTGGCCGCAGTAGTGGTGGCTGGAGCTGACACCGCCGGTGTGACAGTCGGGGAGCTGGCAGGGGCCAAGGGGGTGGATGCAGCAGTGACTGGGCTCACAGGTGCTGTTTTGGCTACAGGAGGGGCAGCCAGAGCTGCAGGAGCTGGTGCAGAAGAGGCAGAGGGAGCAGATGGGGCAGTGACCGGACTCACAGGAGCTGCTTTGGCTGCGGGAGGGGCAGCTGGAGCTGGTGGAGCTGCTGTCACCGATGCAGCAGGGGCAGAGGGGGCAGCAACCGGGCTCAGGGGAGCCGCTTTGGCTGCAGTAGTGGTGGCTGCGGCTGGCACCGCCGGTGTGACAGGCAGGGAGCTGGCAGGGGCTGAAGGGGTAGCAGGCACAGGAGCTGCCAGAGGGGAGACAGGGCTCGCTGGAGCTGCTTTAGCCAGAGCAGCTGTGGCCACTGCTGGTACAGCACTGGGAGATGTTGCTGTCAGCAGCCCTGGGGGAGACGTGGCAGCTCCCAGAGAGGGTTTGGACAGGACAGGAGCGATGGGAGCTGCTGCAGTGGCAGGCATTACCCAAAGGTCTGGGCTCCCAGGTGTCCCGGCCATGGAGGGAGGGACCAGGTCTCCTGCAGCTGGAACTGCAGGGGTGACAGGGGCAACAGCTGGGGCTGCTGGGGCCACCGGGGCATGGCCCGTGGGACAGGTCTTGGCAACAGAAGGAGCAATGGGAATCAGTGGAGAGACTGGAGCACCAGGGGCTAGGCCCTGTGGGGCAGAAGCAGGACTCCCAGGAGACATCCCAGCTGGCAGCAAAGGGGCAGGGGGTGACAACGGGGCCAGAGCCATGGGGGCAGCCAGGAAGACAGGTGGAGAGATGGCACCGGCCAGGGCTGGGCACTGGGGAGGAGCAAGCGGGGGCACGAAAGAGTTGGGGGCTGGGACTCGGGGAGAGGCTGAAGCAGAAGCCAGCAGAGCGGAGGCAGGGCTGCCAGGAGACACTGGTACTGCCGGGGCAGCCGCTGCTGGTGCCACAGCAGGACAGAGAGGGGCTGCTGCAGGAAGAGGGGGTGAGCCCGGGCTCTGGGGACAAGCTGCCTCAGGAGGCACAGCAGAAGAAGGCAGGAGAGTGGGGGCTGCTGCCGGGAGAGATGCCATAAGGGGAAGGGAAGGTGGGGGTGGGAGAGCAGCCGGGCCTGCCCCAGTGCCCTTGGAAGGAGCAGGGGCTGGTGAGGCTGGCATGGGGGCAGGGAGAGGGGCCTGGGCTCCAGTTCCCGTGGGGCTCAGAAGGGCAGCAGGGGGGGCAGCTTTCACAGGAGAGGCAAGAGCTGCAGGGGGAGAACCAGGGCTCACAGTGGGGGTGAAGGGGGCCACTGTCACTGCAGTGGGAGGAGCAGCCAGAGCAGGAGACACTGGGGCCGGGGGTCCCGGAGACACTGGGCTAACTGGGGCAGGCCCTGGAGATCCTGGGGCTGCAAAATCCATTGGGGACTGTGGAGCTGGAGGAGGGGAAGTGGTAACTGGGACCTGCAGAGCTGGGGCAGGCAGCTGGGGGGGAACAGAAAACACAGGGATCGCCGCAGCTGGGACCACAGTGGGGGAAACGGGGGCCCGGGGGCCAGCAGGGGCAGGCAGAGCTGCAGCAGGGCTGGGCAGCTCCGCTGGGAGAGCCTGGCCAGCCGGGCCCGGAGATGGAGTCAGAGGTGGGGAATGAGCAGCATGAAGAACAGCTAAAGGAGAGAAAGAGAGTGAACCCATGAGAGAAGGGAGAGGAGGCCAGGAGAAGGCAGCCTGCCCAGCACAGGCGGCGCCATCCTGGCTCTGGCTTTCCCCTCAGCCTTCGTGCCCGGCTTCTATAGCAGCAGATGAAAGTCCACCTGACCTGCCAGTTCCAGTGCAGACCGGGACTGGTTGAAGCGGACATTCATCCGCTTCTAGAAACCAGCACCGATTTTACAGAGCCTGCTGTGCCAGCATGTGAGCTAGCTGATGGGTGCAAGTCACAGAAGGAAAAACCCAATGCCAGGATCGGTACTGCCACTCCAGGTTTCCCTGCTGAGAGCAGCTGTGGCTGAAACCCTGGCATGGCTGTAGGTGGCACCTGAAAATGCCAGGAAGCCCCAGCGGGCTGGCAACAGCAGGAACCCAACGGGGCCAGCGCAGGGGCCAGGGTTTGCCGCCAGCTCTGCCCTTGGCTCTTCCCTACCAAAGGAGTTGCCATAACCTTCATGGAGCCCTGGAGGCCCAGCCAGACTCCCAGTGCTGCTCCCAAGCCTGGGAAATTGCATTCCAGGCTGGCTGGCACACGGGGGTGACGGGAACCTACCCGATGATAAGAAAGAAAACTCAAATTTAACACAGTGGCATGCATAACTGTTCCAGGAGCACTCTGGCAGTTGTGCTCTGGCAGAAGGCAGCCCCCTCCCTCCAGCCCTGGTGTGACACAGGCAGACCCTCCCAGCAGGCAGGCACCCTTTGGGGACAAGGATGCTGAGGCACAGGGGTTGCCTCACCCACACTGAGGGGACGGGACTCCAAGTCCTGACCCCCATGCAGTGACCTGCGCTCTCCAGTGCAAGCTGTTAGGGTTAATATAACTGCAACCACCCAGAACAGCAAACTCTGGTTAATGTGGCACACGAGGTGTTAACGAGTAGGGTCCAAGTACCTGGCGCTGCAACAGGGGCTGCGGGAGGAAGGGCAGCTGGAGCTGAACGGGTGAGAACAACAGTTTATTAACGCAAGTCCAGATGACTTGAGAGAGTGCTCACCAAGGGAGTGCTCGCTGTCCAGCTCCCCCAGCACACGTGAGAGCCTGGCCACTGCCATACCGAATGTCAGCTGGCAATCAAAGGGAACGACTCAGGGAAGAGACCATGAAAGCCAGGGAGGGCAGCCCTGGTCTGACCAGCGTAACCAGCACCACGGCCGGTTGGGAGAGCAGAACTGGCCCAGCCACACAACCGCCCTTCGGCAGCTCCAGCCCCACACACGGCATCAACCCCAAACCCAGAGACAGCATGTCCTGGCGTGTCTGCTGGGAGGGACGGTGAGGGGAGCGCAGCTGGGCCAGCTGCTGAGGAGAAGCCACCGACAGCTGCAGAGCCCAAATCACAGTCCGGTTCCCAGAAACCCCATCACATCAAGGGAGCAACAGATCTCCTCCCGCTTCCGTGTGAGGCACTGGCTCTCACTGTTGCAGCCACATCTGGCTCTGCACAGGTCACCCACTGACCCACAACGGGGCCAGCCCTGCCTGCGTGTCCGCTGTCCCTGCCCAACCTCTCCTATGTTGCGATTAGGGCTAGTCACAGACTCAAGTCCTTGCCTTGATACTGTCCAGAGCAGTAACACGTGCGTGGAACTCACAGCAGCCTCCTCTATGGGTGACGTCCCTTTCTCTGCCGCAAGAACAGTGGCCCAGAAGATGCTTCTAATGCCCCATTTCCTCAACCTGCCCCAAAACGTGGGGTGGTGGGAGATGGGAACCTACCCAGAGCTGGGCAGCTGCTCAACAAGTGCTGCCAGACATCGGTGCCTCATGCCAGCAGGCGTCAGGACACTTCCTGCTCCAGGGAACCTACTGGCACCTCAAAAAGGAGGAACAACCCCTGCCAAGAGCTGAGCTGGTCCCAAGCCCTTCACAGAACAAGCTGCACAGACAACAGCCTTCTCTGGAAAGCTCATTTATCCCTGCCAGCTTCCCCTGTTCCTTCTCCATCTCCAGCGACGCCTCACCAGCACCGTTTGAGGATGTTCCTGTTAATAGCACGACATTTCCAATTCGCCACTTCTCCACTGAGCACCCCACTTCTCTGGTGACTCCTTCCGCAAACACGAGTGAGATACAGGATTGTCAAAAAGCACATCTAATTTTTAAGGGATGCTTAAACCAACTGGGCCGCAGAGCCTCCCGCGGTGCTGCTGCCCACACCTGAAAGCTAAAGCCCTGTAGCACTGGATTAGAGACTGCTGAACCCAACCTCACAAGCTTTCCATGGACCAACCAACCTCTGAAGAATAAGACGAACATCAAAGCAAACTGCTTGACGACTCCCACCCACGGGGCGATTGCTAACCCCGCGCCAGCACCCCCAGCTCCAGCTCCTCGTGCTGCCAGATCTCAGAACAGCTGGCTCAGCAGAGAGGGGATAAACATGACAGGCCTCACACTCAGGCACACCCTTTGCCTCCACCCTCTGCCTGCAGACCTACTTGACAGCTCCCGTGAGCCCCACAGCTGCTTGGGCCTCTGTGGCTGCCGTTGTCACTCCCCAGGAGCCCCCCGTGCTCCCCCAGGGCCCGTGGAGCAGGTACTGTAACAGCATTTGCTGCTCAGCACACACTGCCCATGGCCAGCTTCTACTGACCTACGCGTGCTCCTGAAGTCGTTAGAGACTCAAGAGGAGCAGAGCTTTGAGAGGAGAAAAGGCACGAGTTGTTGCCCGAGACCGAGAGAAAAGCTGTCCTGGGAGGAGGCAGGGGGATGCTGGGAAGCGGCCCCACCGCAGGAATCCCAGCTACGCCTGGAGAGAGACCAAAAGTACAGCAGCTCCCCAGGACCTGACATGACAGCTGTTGCACTGACAGCCGTCACTTGGCCCCACCAGGCATGGGGGGCTGCTTCCTCCCCAGGGAAGCTTTCTGCCAGCACCTCCTGACTTCACTCGTGGTCCCCAAATCTAAAGCGCCCTTTGGACGGACCCCCATTCACTGTCATGCACCATGTGGCTCCCCCAAGCGGGGTGACAATGCCCAGTCATGTATTCCTGCAGCGCGTCTCTGAGCCTGGGGCAGAGACACAGCAAACCCGGGCAGAGCATTTGCCAGCTGGACCCCAGCACCCAGGACACTTTCAAGGGAGTCAGGCAGCAGGTCCCAGCACAGGCTGGAGACCAGCCCCTGCCCCATGGCGGGAACAGGAGCCCACGCTCGCCTGCCTTAGCGTTTTTGAGCTACCCCAAATCCCAGTGCCGGCCCCCCTGGCTGGTGTGAGGCCAGTACAGCAACGCTCCTTGGCCCCACTGTGACTTTCCAACACGGAGCCACGCATCGCCTTCCCAAACCCAACCAGTTCCAGAGCACAAAGGGATTATTAACATTTGTATGCGTCCCCGACTGTCCCAGTCACCGCATGGCTATACCCTGACCTGGCTATGGCCGTTTTCCTCCCGCTCCCACTGCTCCAACGCTCAAATCCGTAACGGGACCGTACAAACCAGGTACAGAGCATGGCTGACATAATGCTCTCCCCAGTGTTTTGGGACATGAGGGACCACAAACGACATGACTTTAGTGACATTTCCCATAGAGATAACCGATGCGATTTTGGGTAGGAAACCACAGAACAGATTTGTTTGGGCCACAGGAAGCAGTATGACAAAAGGCAGGCTGAGTGAGAAGGGGTCTCAGGCCACGGAGCAGATGCCCCAAATGCCCCTGGGGTAAAGTGGACGAGACTCAAGTTGGCATCACGCAGCACTGGCCAACTCCTTGCCCACTGAGGCACCAGCACACCCGACCCCCCAGCTTCCCCGGGTCCCCTTTTTCCCCCCCTTAAAAGCAACCGAGCCAGCGCCCAGAGGCCGCGGGGACGGGGACGTTCCCCCCCTGCCAGCCCGGTCCCCCCCTCGGCCTCACCTGTCTCAGCCTGCGGCTGCGGCAGCTCCTGCTCCGTGGCCGGGACGGTTTCTGTAGCTTCGCCGGGCATTTCTGGGGAAAGGGAGAACCCAACAGGCCCGGGCTCGCCGGGGCTCCAGACCGCCCGAGGGCGGCTCACCGGGCGCCGGTAACTCGCTCTTCCTGAAGCCACCCGCCAGTCCCGTGCCCGCCTCCCGGTACCGACAGGTCTGCGAAGACGGCTCAACCGCCCGGTCGGTACCGGACACCCCAGGCCCAGCGGGCCCCGAGCACCGCACGGCACGGGCCGATCCCGGGGCCGCCAACGGGGCTCCCCCCCCGCCCGGCTGGGGCGCTAGCCTCCCCCGGCGGCC